CACATTGTAAACTAACTTCAAACCAAAATTATTTAAAAAATTATATATATATAATTATAATTTTGATTTGATATTAGTTTAGTAACTAGTTGTTTGTGTGTAATTTGAATATTCAAATAATATCTCGTTCGAATATTACTTAAAATTTCTTCCTGCATTTCTAATTTATCAGTATCTTTGCCTGTTTAGGTCGACAATTATCGACGTTTCAGATACACTTAAGTTTGACTTTCGTCCAAAGTGTAAAAATCATATTCATCGGATTAGGATATTGTGGAACATGATAAAACAATCGGCCGATTTAAATGTGCTCTGAGGAGTAATCTCGAAGATGACGACTCAAAAATCCTTTCTGGATTGAATTGGCTAACTGTAGCTGACTTTGACGTTAGTCAATTCTGAGTTTTTTTTTTTTCATAACAAAAAACATGCAACTAGTTGAAACTCATTTGATGCCGTCAAATGCTCCTTCTGCGACTTTTGTATCGTACGAGCAAATATATTAGTGCCATGTGTGCTACATGTATATTACATTTGACACTTATAATATAATAATGTGATGTATACATATGAATATCTGGCAATTAATTCCAGAAATGCAGGAAGAAAATCGAAATAGATCGGGATATCTATTGGACATACGCAACTGCAACGGTGGCTGGATGTCGAGATATTGGCTTCGCGTTGGGCGAAGTTTAAATTTCAGTTTTTTGTTTTTTTTTTTTTGGATCACCTTTTTGGATCATGGGTGATCGTGACAGCCTCCTGCTCTTTGAAATTGAGGCCACTAGTGGCCACGCGTGATGAAAGAGGGAGAAATCATGTATCTGTTTAGTTATCACCACGTACATACATACCTAATATAAATAGAAGCTATTATATGAATAAACAAGAAAAGGATATTACATTATTACATTAGGATTAGCTTGCTTGGGAGAGTTTCCTTTACTACGTTGAACATTTTGCGACAAAGTCGAATGATTATACACGTATACACATATGAACCCACTTAACATTCACACACATGTACACAGTCCTACATGCCGTATAATGTAATAGAGGGGTTTACTACCTACCACTAATTTTATTATTTTTACACCTATTACGATGTATATCGATATTGCGCGCAATTCGATGTACAATCACTTTCTATCGTCTTCTTCTTTAGGCACAGCATGTCTTTGGGGCCGCCGGTTTTTAAACTGCGCCTCGAGGAAAACCCAGCTCTATCTCGAAAGTAATTACTACTTTCCTCTCTTTAATGTGCAATGGGCAAGAATTATGGTTTTTGCAATCTTATAATATTGACGATGATTCGTAAAAGGGAGATAGATGTGTTTAATTTACATCTATGTATCTGTAGAATTATATTTAGCGAAATTTCTTATATGTGACATCAATTATTATATATATATATAATAGTAATCATTTAAGGACATTTGAATAAGCGCGATAACGATTTGCATTTTTACTACAAACTTAAGAAGGTTAATTTGAGAGAAAGCAAAATTCATATTTGTTTAGTTTGTACTGTTAAAGAGATTATATCGTTAGTGCGTTAAATCATGTTTTGTATTCTCAATTTCTTTCTCAATAATTTAAGGTAAATTTTGCTTGTCATCATTCATTTTAGATCGTACATATTTTTTAAATTCATTTTTATGTGCGCGACATTGTATGCACTTAGTGAAATATTCACTTTGATTATTTATATATATATATATATATATATATATATATATATATATATATATATATATATATATACATGTATATGCTGTATTTGTATTTTAAAAACAATGACAATCATATTGTATATATAACGTTCTATTGTACATATCATAAACATAATTATTTATAACACGAACAATCGATCTCGCAATGATGAATTTTCAAGATGATTAAATTAAAGAGATATACAAATATACAAAATGATATCACCGTTTAATTAATAATTAACTATACGAGAAAACGTTAGATATATTGCTTAACAGTAGATTTCACTTAAGTGCTACAAAACATATTGAAGTTGTTTCTTCTAACAAGAGAGTACGTCTACAGTATTTACACTTACAAAATATGCCTATATATGTACAGAAAACAGCGATATCATGCGTTATCTGTGCCATTCCTCTTGAATCGTTAGCGCAGCGCAATCTTGCTACGGAAACAAAAAAATAAGCTCCGCTTATCTCATCAGAACATGTACGCACATGATTAATGATATTCAATCTCAAGGAAAATATAAATGCGTTTTTAAACGCGTTACGTGTTACATAACAGCCTAAATTATCATAACAGCTTAGTTCAATATTTATTGCTTCAAAGCGCATTTCTTCAAGTTTTTTTGTGCAGATCTTGCTTCGTAACGATTTCTGAAAGAATAACACTTTCTGAAGAGAAGAAAAGGGTAGTATTTTCCGAGACGTAAATTAATTAGCGCATGTTGAGATTGCATCAGATATGTAATTCACCTGCCAATACATAAGAGGCCGTGAATACAAGATTATTTTCGCGGATTTCGATCATTTCTCGGTCATGAGAGTGCAAGTACAGTTTCGTGAATCATTCATTTCGTGAAAAGTTGTGCTTATTTGTGCACTATACAGTATCATGTCTCGTGAATAATAGGTATGTCGTTGAAAAACGCTTGCAAAATGTATTTAGATGTTTCTCCGAACGTTCGAGAAACATCTTTTTTAGACTTCCATGTTGCTCGGGATCTTCCCGCTACTTATCCTTAATAAATTACGCCAATTCCTTATACTTACGTTGGCCATGAAAGCAGTCCATATGTGTATATTAGCGATACTTATAAGAAAAATCACATTTGAACTAATGAGTCATCTCTCCTATAAAAATAACTCTGAAATGAGTTGGGTCCAGCAACAAATTGCGCCTCTCCTAAGTCTAAACATCAACAGGCTAATGATCTCTCTGTACAGTAGGAATCTTGATCCATTCTTTTATCATTATATTGTCCACGTCGTATATAGTAAATATTACGCGTTGTCAGGAAATAAGTAAAAATATATACCTTTCTGTATGTTATACAAAACATAAATATCGCCCATATTTTTCATACCTCTTCAGACATAAATATCAAAAAGACAGAATGGTCGCGTTTGTCCCTGTATATATATATATATAGAGA